CCCCATTGAGTAACGGGGTGAGGCCCTCAGTCAGGGAGATGCAAGGGGCAGACTGGAGGACTGGCCAGAGGGTGGGGCCTGGATGGGCGCTGCCCCTACTGGTATTTGCTGGAAAAAGTCCTGATCAAGCTTAGTTCACGCAGCACCAGAGCAACTCAGCAATGGTTTGTGCTCCCCCATGGTCACGGAGCCACATCGCCCCACTGCCGCCACCACACTGACCCGCTAGGAGACGGGCACCTGTGCACAGGTAGCCTTTGCGTAGCCTTTATCCCTGCCTCGCTTCCCCCCACCCCCACCCGGGGGGACCGCTCTCCCCAGTGAAGTGTTAGCTCACAAGCTTTCACTGTAGGTTCTGCTGTCTGGAGACCCCAGGCTAAGGCACTTGGTGCCAGAAGTGGTCCTGGAAATCAACGGGGCAGCTGCCCTGCAGGTTTCCCAGGACGCAGGACTGCCCTGCAACAGTTGGTCACCCTCAAAAGCTGAACCTCGGGGTGGGACTTCTTAGAAGTTGGAGGGTCCACCCGTCTGAAGGCCACGGGGGGCTCTGCTGCTGTGGGCCGTCTGTTATCACGCTTCCACCTGTGCTTACGTGGCACGAGGTGCAGGTGGAAGGTGAGGCATGGGGACACCTCAGCCAGTGGCCTCGGGTCTGTGAGCTGACTTAGCTCTGGAAGGACCTGCAGTTTCCCATTACAGCAGCCAATGTCGGTCTTCTGGGGTCTGCGCTGACAACGCTGCCTGAGCCCTGAAATGCCACCGTGGTCCTCTCTTAGGGAGGGGCTACAGAGTCCATGAGATAAAAGAGTTTGGGCCCAAATCCATCTCACAGTGAGTGCAGGGGGGGTCCCCAGAGCATCCTGTGGTCATTTTCCTGGTAGCCAGATGTGTGACTGGGCAGGTAACCTGCAGCTGACAGAAAAGCCAAGGGGCCGAGACCTGAACGCCGGGGTCTCTGCTCGCGCTCTTAGTGAGCACAGCCTGAGGGGGGGGCTGAGTCGCTGCTTTGTTAGAGTTCAACCCAGCGGGCGGGAGTGAGGGACAAGGCCAGGGAGCGCCAGGACAGGACAGCGACCGAGGTGGCCCCTGGATCTCAGACCCACCCGAGGAGCCAGTCAGCCTGCACCCACCAGTTGGGGGCGGTGATGAAGGAGGCAGCATCGACGGACCGGTACTTGTCTCCCATTGCTGGAAGGTTTGTACCGTGGGGGTTAAATCCCCCCCGACTTCAAGGTTACACAGGCACAGGCCTGAGCGGATCCCGGGGCTCAGGCCGACAGGGAAGCCCTGGGGCAAGAAGAGGCTCGGGCGCACCTGAGTGGACGCTGGTTGGAGCCCATAGAGTCAGTTGCTGCTGCACCAACAGGAATAAGACATAGATGGGAGACTCTGAAGTGAGCATGGTTTCCATGTGACAACCTGGGGCCGGCACCCCAGGCGGCAGGGATAGAAGGTGCAAAGGCCCTGTGGCTTTTCTGCACTTTTGTCCTGTAACTTTTCAAAATGATAAAGAAAGGATGCACCAATGCCCCCCACCCCCACCCCCAATACAGAATTCCGAGTTCTGCAAATGAAGCCCCCAGCTGTCCAGAGCTGGGAGAGGCCTGAAGAGAAAGGCATGGCAGGGGCTCCTGCTCTCTGCCCTCTTCCTCAGCTGACCCAGCCACGCAGCTGCTCATTAGTCCAACCCCTCGCTGGACAGCGACTAGGTGCCAGGCCTGGGGCTTAGCGCCTGGGACCCGCAGCAAAGACCAGACAAGCTCTCTGCCCTCCAGATGCTCCTCGGGAAAGAGGAAGACAGAATCAGTTTTGCAACCAGGCAAACTCTGGATCCGAATCCCTGCTCCCTACTTATTATCCAGGTCAAGGTGTTTGATCTCTCTCAGCCTCAGTTTCCCCATCTGTAAAATGGAGACTATACAGCCTTATTCACGGAGTTGATACGGGGATCAAAGGGGAGTAGGCTCCATAGGCAACAGCTGCACGGGGCTCCCCCAGCCCGGGATGCAGGGGGGCACTTTTTTGTTGCTGTTCTATGTCGTAGGCATCTACGTAAAGGCTTGTGGAGAGGGTAGAAAAGACCAGTTTTGAAGAGCATTTTAAATCCTTTGCAGATTAAAATGTTATCCAATCTGACTGCCATCCCTTGGGGTCGCCACAGCCCCTAGGCAATCCTCCAGCTTCCCAAGAGCCCCCACCTCCATCCCTCAGACCCTCCTCGAGGGCGGGGGGTGGTCAGAAAGAGCACACTGCAGACAACACCGCGGTTTCCAGGGCCTTTATTCAGGAAGGTACAGAGCGTCTGCAGTCGGCGTGACAGGCACTGTGCGGGGTTTGTAACAGTTCAGTTTCCCCAAGGTGTCGCGGGAGAGGGGCGCAGAGGGAAGGAGGACCCTCTGGGGAGTCCTCTCCTCCAGAAAAAGGCACTGGCAGGGGCGAGCACCCTGCTTCTTCCCAAGCAAGGGGCCTGGGTTATGTACACACGGGGGGACCGGATGCAGAGGACCTCAAAGCTAAATACAGCTGAGGGCGGAGAGAGTCCATCGGGGGGGTGGGCAGTGACCAGGGCTGCGTCCAGGCTCTCTCCACCAAGCGGGACAGGCGGCTCAGAAAGAAAGCAAAGCTTGAAAGGAGAAACAGCATCCAGCCTCTCAGTCGTAGTGTTTTGTGCAATTTAAAAAACCAACAAAATAAATATAACTTAAAAACTTCTTACATGACACTAAAAAGGCAAGTCAAGGACAAGCAGTTGAGAAACCTTCCTTGAGTGCTAAGCAGTGCTGAAGCACCAAGAACCCCACCCCCACCCCACCCCAGGGCCTGCAAGAACAGGAGGGGCGCAAAGGTGTCCCACCCTCCTGCCACCTGCACGGCCAGGACCCAGGAGTCCCTGCCTGGACCGGGGCTGGGTGGGGAAGGTCTTTCAGACCACCTGGGCAGGGGTTCTGGAAAATTCCATTCCAGGATCCATCTATGCCACTAGGACAAGGGGGTGGAAGGACAAAGGGGAGAATGGGTTGAGAGACAGAGCAGGTGCGGACGAGGAGAACCAGCATGTAAATTCCAAAACCCCCAAACCCCTACAAAATAGAATAACCCTAAGAACATACCACTTTATACCCCTTTCACTTATATAATGTAACCCAAAGCAAAGTATTGCCAATCAGAGGCCCCATGGGCCTCCTTTAATAAACAAATCACTTGCATATTAGCACATTATCTGCAAACAGCTAGTGTCTGCCTAAAGTGCTCAGAAAGTTTGTTCTCTTGAGTAGGTGACGCTGGTCCCTGTAATTTTTGTTCATAGCATTCATTTGCTTTCACAAACATTTTTCATAGATAGAATGAGGGTAATTTTTGGCCAGCCCACAGTTGTAGAATCTTTACGTCCAAATTAATGATGTCCCTTCCCCGCAGTGGCTGAAGCACGGACCACTGGGGTCCCTTCTAACCCACAAGCGACTACAGACCCCTCACCGGAGCTGGCTTTGGGGCTCTTGCCTCCCAGGATCACGTGCTGTCACAAGGTCTCTCGTGCTCAGCCGGGGTGGGGTGTGACCTTTAGCAAGTCAGCCCACACAGGAGCTCACCACTGTTTTGAACAAGAGCCAGGAAGTTTGAAAGTGATTTCCTTTTTTAAAATCTGTACTTATACATCCTCATGTGTCCCACCCTCCACCCCCACCAACCGTCACTCACCCAGCATGAAAGGGGAAACGTACATGTCACATGGGAGAGTTGACAGTTCCCCCAGAGACCCTGGGGTGATGGGGGCGTGTGGCCCAGGAAGCCCTCTCTCTGGACCTGTCCCTCCTGGCACACCCATGGGTACACACTACCTCCACTGTGTCCCTGAAGCAGCTCCCTGCAGAGCAACTGGCCTGGGGCCAGCCAGAGCCCCTCAACTCTCAGCGCTCCTATACCTCCAACAGCAGAGGAGGGCACCTGGGGCGACAGCTCCAAATGCCCACAGAGCCAGAGTTTTGTTCTTAAAAAGTCTGAAAAGCAAATTTTACATTCTTCTCAATAATTGAGACTTACTTGCTTTACAATTAAAATAAGGCTTACAACTGGTTCCCCACGAATCTTCAAGCCACCTAGAGACTCCTGGAGAAATGCCTGGAACACCCCCTGGCATCCAGCACATACCCTGGAAGCTGTCCACACCACTTTTGGGAAACAGGGGTCTAAGCCCTTCAGGCCATAAGACTAATTTCAGAGGGGAAAAAAAACGATGCCAGTAAGCCAGCCTCCTGCCTCCTCCATGCCCAGTGCTGGCCTAAAGCCCTGCCCCGTAAGTACTAGGGACACTGGACCTCATAAAAGACCGCAGGCAGGGCCATAGATGGGCAGCAGGGAGGCGGGGAGGGGAGGGGACACGAGAGGCGCGTCCTCTGCAGGGTCGTCTTCCTTCCCCTAGGGGCTGCCTGTGCCCTGATCAGCTCCCACCCAGCACCCTGGACCCTGCCAGAGCAAGGCGGGCAGTGGGAGACACAAGTGGCTCTGGGGGTTGGCTAGCACCCGGGGAGCCCAGGTTTGCAGCATGGCCCCCAGAATTCATGGGCCATAATCACAGACGGAAGAACACAGCTCCCGGCCGTCCCTCTGGGGAAGGCCTGCGTCAGAGCGCACAGCCAAGTAGGATTGGCCTGCTCCTGGCTCCCGGTCTGCCCCAAAGCTGGAGGGTTTCAATACCAGATGGGTGGGGCGCCTCCCTCAGCAGGCCTACAAAGGCCGCCACGGTGTCTCTGGGAGTCCCTGCGCTGCTAAGCAGAGGGTACTTTATTCATGGCTGACAGGCGGCTCCCAGTGGTTTTCTGCCCCAACTACCAGGCACCTGTTGAAACATGGGGCTCTTACAGCCCCCACCACCGGGAGGATGGTGCAGAACCCAGCAGGGCTTGGCAGCGGCGCTAACGGCACCGGCCACCAGGGGGCAGCAGGCCCCCACGGCCACCTGGGCTTCCCTCCAGGTCTGAACCCAACTGACCTCCCCTGTGGGCAGCCGGGCCTGGGGTCTGGGGTCTGGGCATTTCTCTCCTAGCAGGAGATCCTGTCTACAGAGAGAAGTGGGAGCCCAGCCCCAAGTCCTCCAATCAGGAGAACAACCAGAAATCTCATTGCATCTCCTCGTCTACAAAGTGTCTCGTAGTGCAGTTCCGAGGGTCAGTTCTGGGGCACCCGGGGGAAGGGAAGGGAACATTCAGGAGGAGAGGGAAGCAAAGGGAGGGAGAAAGGCCGGGAGCGGCCGCGAGGTGTGGGGCGCAGGGCGGCCTCAGGGCGGTGGGGTGCCCGAGCACATTTCCGTCAGGATGTCGATGAGGTTGTTCAGGCCGGAGAGGTAGCCGTCCTCCCGGTTCCCTTCCTGCCAGGGGACGTCGTGCTGCAGGGTCTGGCCCTCGGGCAGGGGTGTGGTTTTCCCAAAGTCGATCATCCACACCTTGGCCTGTTCCTTCTTGTCGTGGATGAAGAGGAGCGAGCTGCCAATGACCTGGAGGGAGACAGGGAGGTGAGGAGGGGCCGCCGGAGCACACGCTCTGCCCTCCACACTGCAACCCGGCCCCTGAGGGCACTTGGAAAAGCTTGAGGCCTGAATGAAACGGGAAGAGGTGGCTAGGCCGGGGGCAGAGGACATGGGATTCCAGAACAATGACTGCCCTCTGCGTGGGTGGTGGCAGCAAGGAAGTCCAGGATGGCAGAGCCCCCCCCAGCTCCGACCTGCAGACTTCCCACTATTTCAGACCACAGCCAAACCCGGGGGCCTCACCCCTCCCCTCCCCAAACTGGACTCCTCCCCAACACCTTGAGTAACTGCTCTTATGAAAGGGGGGTGCCACGTAGACCCCACACTGTGCCCGAGGGGCAGAGGAAAGGACTCTGTGCAAATGCACACACAGCACCCCCACAAAGGCAGGCCGTGAGGCCCAGATCTCCCCCCATCCCAGCAGCACAACCCCCTGCAAATCCTGAGCAGACAGGCCTCTGAGGCTGGTCCCTGCCTACGGCTTCCTCAGGGACAGTGCACACCAGAGCCCTCCTGCTCTGGGCCAGGTCAGAGCAATGGCATGGGGTAAGGGGCTTTCCCAAATATGAACACATCCCCCAAACCCTCCCCCAGGTCACCCGTGTGGGGCCAACAGGAGACAATGGGGTGTGGGGAGAGGCTGACGGGTCACTATAGCTCCCAAGGCCCAGGGCAGGGCAGGGAAGACCACCCCAGGAAACCCTGAGCCCAGAGAAGGGGCTGCCTACTCCCGGTAGGAAATAACAGAACCCCCGGCTGACTTAGTCTCCTTCTAGACCTGAAGTTTCCTGGTGAGACTCCAGAAAGAGGGTAGCAAAACAATTTTTCCGGAATTAATAATACAGGTGCTGAAGAAGGGAGGCCAGAGCTGTGAGATGAAGCCTGGGGCGGCCAGGTGGGCCGCAGAGGGGCCCTCTGCCCAGCACAGGAGGTCATAGGCGGCTCTGTGGCCTGAAGTCCTTCCAGGCTCGGCCCCCAGGGTCCGGCAGCCCCGTGTCCTCTGGAGGACGCAGGATGCACAAAGACCTTCATCAAGCTGGGGACACAGAGGCCCCAGGAGGAGCCCACGACCTGGGGACGCTGGGCTTCAGCGAGGCCAGGGGGACACCAGGCATTCTGAGAAGGGCTGGGCCAGCGCAGCCGCTCAGGGCACAGCCAGGCCGAGTGGGTCTGCCCTCTGGATAGCCCAACCCTCCCAACAGGCACCCCATTAGAGCCACCACATACAGTGGGGCAGGGGCACCCTGGCCAAGGGGCAAGTTGGAGATCAAGTCCCAGAGCAAGGACAACTGTCCACCTGCAGAAAGGGCCGGCCGTGTAACCTGCGCAACGGTGCCAGCCCGCCGCCCTCTGGGGATGCCCCCCTGCCCAGAGCCCAGGACCACTGTCTCCAGTTCCTCCGGCGGGAGCCCCGGCCCTCTCTGTGGGCAGGGCTCAGGCTCCCTCCACACAAGACCTCTCGAGGGGCTGGGGGAGGGGTGTGCATGCCGAGAGGGCTGCTGCATGTGTCTGTGTGTGTGTGTACGTGCATATGCACACGGGAATGGAGGCCCTGGACTCCCCTGATGTCAGGATCCTTAAACCCCTCCAAGGAACCTGCTGACAATTCCCAAATCCTCCCTCAGCTGTCTTGGTTCCCCGTCTGCCTACTGTCTGCAGATAAAGGCAGAGCACGTGGAAAGTTCCAGCCCTGCTCTGAGACTGGTACCTAAAGACCTGCTTGCCCTCCTGAAGGTCTTGGGTGGTGATGGGGGGTCCCTGGCTACTCCAGCAGCTCAAGGAGCTTCCCTAAGACCCTTGGGTGTGTGGGACAGAAGTCCTGCCACAGCCCCTGGGAATGGAAGAGCCTCAGTGGCTGGGAGGGAGAGGGAGAAGAGGGGGCAATGACCACAGATCTCAGGCAGGATGGCCCCGCGTGGTCAACCCAGGGGCCTGGCACGGGTGGGTTACATCCTGGTTCCTGCATGTAGTGAGGGGGCTGATCCTGGACGGCCTGCCCCTGGCTGCGGTCATCCTGAAAACACCCCTCGGCCTCTGGAGCAAGCAGGTCTGTTAGCGTGGGGGCCGTGTGGGCATGCCCGAAGGTCGTGGCCAACCACCCGGGGCACGCTCTCTGCCCAGAAGGACAAAAGCCCAGTCAGTATCTACCTCGTGGCACTTGAAGAAGGGAGAAACTTCTAGAGTGGCCCGGATGTCCTTCAGCCGGTCCCGGTAGGCGACCTGAAAATAGAGAGATGACCAATTTTAAATGCTTGGGGGTGAAGGGTGGATTTTAAGCCCTATTTGGCCCATTAGAGTCACTGAATGTCAGAGCGGGAGGGACCTTACACCCTGATCATTTATTCCAACCTCCTCATCTAGAAATGCAGGAACTGAGGCCCAGAGGAGGTGGGGCAGCCAGGCCCCTGGTCCCACGCTTTCTCCACCCCAAACGGCTTTGTGAGCAGGAGGTATCGGGAGTGACCATTCCCAAACAGCCATGCAGCCTCCAGGAGCTCCTCACACGAGGGTACAGTTTATTCTGGAATGCCAGCAGTGTAGAGGCAGCATCCACAGAGCCCAGTTGCCATGGTGTCTTCCTGAACACAAACTTCAGTCCCTGACTTTTGAAAGGACAGAGTAGGTGGGAGAGCCACAGATATCTCTGCCAGTGGCCTCTCCACAGAGCCCTTCAAACCCAGGTTGAGCTGTGCCAGCCCTGGGGGTGCCCGCCCTCCCCCGGGGCTCGCTGGGGACGTCCCACACAGGCAGACACGGCCCCTCAATGTCTGTCTGCACAGTGCCAGCCTGGAGCTTGGCACGGGAATACCCCCCTCGTCTTGGCTTTGCTGAGGAGCTCAAATCCTCGCCAGAAGTGACCCAGGAACCAGAGGCTCAGGCTACAGAAGAGTCGGGGGGCATACCCTATGACTGAAGTCGCCCCAGCTGGGAAAGGAGGGGAGGGAGATCCCCTGTTCCAGCCGGTGCTGAGCCTCCTTGGAGAAAAGGCTGTCTGGATCCCCGCTCTGCAGTCCCAGGAGCCTGCTTGGGAGAAGGTGCCTCTCACGGGGGCTTCAGGGCCCATGTCCCTGGTGTGCCTGGGGCTCTGACTGTCACAGGGTCCCTGTCTTGGGGTACAGTGGCTCAACACACTCTGCGTCGGCTGGGAGGGTCGGGGCCCTGATCCCAGCAGTCAGAGCATCTGTCCAGCCCTCCTGCTCCTGCAGCCACGAACATGAAATCGTTTTGTCATGAACTTGTGGCGCCCGCACCCCCAGGCTCAGAGAGCCATCAGTTCTTGCTGGGGAGAGCAATGGGCCCCCCAACGCACACTGCCCTCACTCAGACTCACAGCCTGGTAGAGGCCCGGCCAGGCCCAGGAGGTACTGGGAGCGCACGGACCAGCGGGCTGCCGGCCCATCTGGGTGTGGATTCCAGGCCCGCCCTTTCCTAGCTGTGTGTCCTTGACTTCTCAGTGTCCTCTTCAGTAAAATGGGGACAAGAAGGTCTGCCCACCCCAGAGGGCTGCGTGAGGATTTGATGAGCACTTAGCACAATCCTCGGCAGGCAGTGGTGCCACAGAAATGCAGTGATGGAAAGAATTGCTTTTAAAGGGATGGAAGATGGTTCCGGAAGCTGCGAGGCTGATGGGGGAGGGGAAGAGGGATGAGTGTCCACCAGGCTTCCCTGTTTACCCACCGAGCGGGGCTGACAACCACGTCACCTTCCTCTTCACCTTCCAAGCAGAAGCTGGGGCCAGGGTTTTCAGTGCGGGCGCCCTGCCGGGCTCACTGTGGGGCTGGGCAGGAGTCCCCAGAGAGGACACAGTGATCCCCGCCGGGGCGGCCGCTCGCGGGCTCCTCCGGGGGGCCCTGACTCACCAGGACATTATGGTTGCCTTTAGTGAATTCTCTGAAGGCCTCGGTGACCTGCTCCCGCGTTTTGGTCTTCTTGAAGTCCCGGTTCACGGAGCCGTCTTCCTTCTGAGAGGGAGAAGGACAGACCCGCCCGGGACGGGGTCAGCAGAAGGCCAGGGGCAGGTACCGCGCGCATCCACCCAGCGGTCTGAGATAGCCGCTCTGAGCCCAGGCCTGACCCCCAGGCAGCAGGGGCCCACGTGCCGCACGAGGAGGCCAGCGCCTGCACAGCCGGGCACAGGGCGGTTAATCGGGTGCAGCAGAGGGCAGCCTGTCCCGGGCCCCGACTGGGAGAACAGGGGAGGGGGCATCGGTGCCCCAGGCAGAGTGAAGACGGTAGGAAAGGCCTGGAGGCGTGAGGGGCACTCAGGCCAAGAACAGAGGAGCGAGGCTGTGGGGCAGGCCCCCCTGAGTGTGAGCAGCAGGGGACGAAGCAGATGGACGGGCCTCAGCTGCCACTCCAGGGCCTGGCCCCAGAACCACAGTGCCCAAAGGTCCCTGCCATCCAGAGGTGCGGCCCCTGGCCAGTCTGGGGAGAGGCGCTCCCCACCCCAGGTCCGCCTCGATTCCCTCCATACTTTAAGGTCTCTTAGCACAAGTTCCCTGAAAGCCGAGACAGACCACTGGTCCACCCTGTGCGAGACGGCTCCGTTTTCTTAGCCCAGCACTAGGTCTGTTCCAGGCTGTTCTGGGGCAGCACATAGGGCTCGGCTCCTCTAGGAGGACTCTGTTCTTTAAGGACAAAGGTTGAGCAGGGATGGTTCCACAAGGAGCCCCCAGACGTGGGTCTGTGCACCACCAGGTGGGAGGTTAGTTAAAGCGCCGTGGCAGCCTCTGAAAGAGCAAGTGCACTCTGGAGCAGAGGGAGAGGGCCGAGGGGCGGCAGGTGACACATCTCGGGCTGAGCCTTTCCCAAGGGCCTCTTGAGGGGGCGTTTCCTGGACAGGGGAGGGGAGAGGCAGGAGGAGACAGCTGGCTTTTCTCAGAGCCGCTGGCCCTCAGCCCGAGAAGATGGGCTGTTGGCTGTTCCTGCAGCTGGACTGTGGACGGGGCCAGGACACCCAGCTTAAGAGGAGAGGTAAAGGGACGGGTGGATTGTTTCAAACAGATAAAGGGGACCAATGAGCATTCAGGGGAGCAGGACAAGCGTATACCTTGCATTCAGTCTGAGGGCTGGATGCAAAAAGAGAAAAGCTCGTTTCAGAAGACAGGAAGGGGCAAATGGCTTTCTTGGCCCAGAGCTCCCGGTAGCTGTCCTGGGGGAAGGGGAAAATGCTCCCCCGTGCCACCGTCGGCAGCGAGGCACTGCCAACTGCAGAAACCTACAGCGAAACGCCGCCTGCCCCAGCTTCAGCCTGCCCGTGAGTCAGGGCTCCCAGCCGCCCATCCCCGACTCTAGGGCTCCAGGGTGTGGGCAGAGAATGCACGGAGAGCGGAGACCCAAGAAGGCTGCAGGGACTGCCATGTGCCCTGGAGGGACGGCCACCTGAGACCCTGAGGGCCGGAGCCTCACAGCCCTGCTCCCTGGGGGAAGCCCTGTCCGAGCCGGCTCTTCAAATCTAACAGCAGGGACGTGTAGGAGCCTGGATATGGGAGAGCGTTCTTAGGCCCTTCTCGGGAGACCAAAGAGGACAGAAAAGAGAATGAGTGTTCCGGAAGCTGGGGGTGGCCTTGGTGCATCTTCACCAGAGATATCTGGTGACACAGGAGCGGCGCTTAGTCCTGCCTGCCTGGGCAGAGCCAGGGTCCCAGCTCAGACACAAAAGGCAGCCAGCGTGCCCCCTCCCTTGCCTGCATCTCACAGCCAGGCCCCGGTTTTCCGGCCATGGGCAGAACGGGCCAGCTCCCCACACTGGCTCCTGGATGGGTTCTCAGTGTGGGCATGGTCTGGGTTAAGTGTAGAGTCCTTGGCAGAGGGCTGACCACTGGGCAGGGCTAGAAGCCACCCCTGCTCCAAGGCCCCAGCCCCTGCATGGCCATCCCACCTGTACCCAGGCTGAGGAGTAGGCCTATTTCCCTGTATGTCTGTCCCTGGGACTGTGAGGGAAGGGAGCTCTCAGCCTTGGAAGGGGCCCGAGAGCAGCCAGGACCCCTGGGGTGAATGCTGGTAGAGCCCGAGCCCCCACTCCTTCCCCACCCGGGAGCTGGGCGGCCCAGGCAGCCTCAGGCCACACCTGGCTGGGCTCACCTTGATGCCCTCGATCCTGAACCCGAGGGTGGCCGTGGAGCTGATGGTCTCCCTCCACTGCATATACCGCGGCTTGGTCACGGCCCGCTGGGCTTTCTCCTCCTCGGTCGGGGCCTCGGGGTCCACCTCAATCATCTTCTGGTACATGTCCTTCCGGAGGCTGGGCTTCTTCCGGGCCTTGGTGAGCTCTTCCTCCAGGTAGGTCCTGCGTGGGAGGGAGGCGACATGAGGGCCGTTGGCTGGACCGCGGCTCCCTGGTGCCTTGCCTGCGGGCCAGAGTCGGCTTAGCCAGGGCAGGCTCGTCCAGGATGGGCACACGCTCAGCTCGGGCTGGGGCTGGCTCCTGATTGAGGAGAACAGGGCGGCCTTGCTGGATGGGACCCACTTCACTCCAAGACCACCGAGGAGGTCTGACACAGCCTGAGGAGCCCCTCCTTCCAGGGGAACCTCACGGGGCCCGCAGGGGAGGGACGAAGGAGGCAGGGCAGCTCAGCGGCTTGTCCTGCTGGGGTGAGGGTGGGAGAGGGTGCTGAGGGCAGGCTCCACTCAGGGCTCAGCTGTCCCCGCGTGGCTGCCTGGGACCCTTCCACAAAGTGAGGGCTTCCGAAGCCGGCACCTGTGTGGGTTGGAGAGCTCATTCTGTCCTCCCGCCCCACCCATCTCCCCAGTTCTCAGGCAGCCGGAAGGGCCAAGCCAGCCCTTAGATGTCTCTGGCTCTCTCCAAAGAGGGGAAATCTCGAGTACAACAGTCAGGCCAGAGGCGGCCTCTGAAAGAGGCACAGTGCTGGAGGGAGAGTCTGGGGACTCCTTGGCCTCTGTTCTAAGCAGAGATGTGCCCGGCTTATCCTGCCCCGTGGACACCGGGCCTCGGACCTGACCCCCAGCCCGAAGAGCCTGAGAAAACACCACCGACTACATTGCTCACTGCCCTGCCCTCCGCACGAGCAGGCTGGGTCTGCTGGCCCAACTGGCCGGGGTCCCCTGGAAACTGGCAAAGATAACTGGAGCAGGGACAGTGTGGGACCCGCCTGAGTAGCCCGAGGCTGAATCCCCGGCCCTGGGCTGCAGGGCTTCAGGTCCCACCCGGGGCTGCCTCCCTCACCCCCATTGCCGAGCTAGGCTGGGTGAGCGCCCCCTGCTGCACACACGCGTGTACTGCACAGCACCAATGCCCCTCTCTTCCCTGCTCCCATTTTAAACGCCGTCCTCCCCCACACCTGCTCAGCTGCAGCCCGTGACCCTTCATGAAACAGAAATCGCAGTGTCACTTGCAGGAGAGGGAAGTCTTCGCCCTGGCGCCGCATGTGTGGCAGCCGCCCACGAGGGCCCCACTCGCCCTGGGCCTCCCCCCACCACTTCCCACCACCCCTTCTCCAAGTGGCTGGTTTGCGACCCAGAACAGACTAACGTCAAATCCATGACGTCGTTCAAAGACCCGCGTGTGTGCACGTGTGTCTGTGCTGTGTGGCTGGGAGAGGAGCTGGCCATCCCAAATGCTCCCAGTGCACTGCAGGAGCCTGCAGGGTGGGTGGGCGGCTGCACTTCTGCAAAGAGCTCTCAGTAGCTCCTTCAACAGGAAGCAGGCCTCGACGTCAAACCCCTTCTCACATGGGCCTTACTCCACACAGGACCCCACAGCTCCATCTGGGCAGAGTCATTCACCCCTGGGAGAGGAAAGGGGCTGGGCAGAGATGCCCACAAGGGTCACTAGCCAGATGGTGGGGCTGGGGTCCACCAGGACGTGAGCCACAGAGCCTCCCCACTGCCCTGACCAGCCGGCCCCAAGGGAAGGTCAAACCTCCATCTCACATGGTGAGGGGGCAGAGGCCTGCTGGGGGGGGAAGGCAACTCAGGACTAGTAAAGGGCATGCTCCTCTCAGGAAGGCAGCAAGCCCGTGGGGGGCCAGCGCATGACACACCAAAGCCACCCACAGCTTCCGAAAGGGCAGAGAGGCTGGAAACCAGCTCTGGTGTCCACTCGCCAGCCCCTGGTCCAGATGTCAGGAAGATGCTTCTGACTCTCAATGGCAGTTCGCATAACACACAGATTTACAGGGTCAGATCTAAGAAACTCCCCAGAGCAATGTGAGCGTATGTCCACGTGGAACCAGGGTCCCAAGACACTCCTCGGTTAGGATGCTACGGGCGCCTGCATCCCCTTTTCCTTAGGCCCCCACGGTGGCTGAGGCTGGGTTTGCTGATCAGCCCTTTCACCACTGTGACAAGTGTGTGACAAGTCTCAACCCCTGATGCCTGGGACTTGATGTCTGTGGTGGCCCTGGGCTCCGGCCTCCTCCCTCTGGCAGGCAGGGGCCACACTCTGGGGACAGCCAAGGACTGCTGGTCTCGGGAGAGGCTCTGAGGCCAAAGGTTCCAGAACAGTGCAGTTGGGAAAATGCCGGAGTCTTGGGAAGTACAGCCAGGCTGGATTTGCAGTCAGAGGCCTGGTGCAGATGTGGGCTGTGCTGCTACCTGGCTGCACGGCCCTGATGAGTCTCTTAACCTCTGGTGTCAGAGTCCTCCTCCTCAGACTGGACCAGAGTGGCCTCTGAGCCACCCTGGAGGAGCACCCGCACAGCACTCGGAGCCCAGAAGGGCCCATCCTTGGGATCTGTGAGGCAGGGAAGGTGGGGCTGGGGTAGGACCGGTCCTGGGGAGACCGACCTCTTCCCCTGCACACCAGCTCCTCCCTCACCCCACTCCCTCGGCCTCCAGGCCCTGCCCAGGACCTGGGTAAGTGTGTCCCAGCCTTGCCGGTCACTCTAGGTCTCTCCTGAGAGCCCTGGGTGCAGTGAGACAGAAGCTGCGGGAATCAGGGGACAGGAGTCAGGGGGACAGGGGCAGGCTTGGGCGGGGTGGGGGGACTCCTGTCCCCAGCAGCGCCCAGGGAACAACACGGGGTGGCTCTTCAGGAGTGACTGGCCGGTGTTCTTCCCACAGGGGGTACTTTTTTTGGCCACAGTCTGAATGAACACCAACTGGAATATTTATGCGTCTCCCCTGGAGAGGGAGCATCTTGGTGCACAGGGGAGGGCCTTCTGGGGACAGAAATGAGACTCTGGGGAAGAGCAGCGGCCAAGAGGTGGCTGGAGGGACGTTCTGTCTCCTCCCTGTGGGCTGGAGAGGGTGGGCCCTGGAGGGAGGCCAGTGGCAGTGCAAAGAGCAAAGAGCGGACCTGTACTTCCCATCCCCCACGTCTCTGCCCCGGGGTAATGCCAAGGGTCACAGCTCCCTGAGGAGTGAGGGGAGAGAGGGGGAAAGGAGAAGGGGCTGGCTCGGCCCACTTCTCTCCTGGCCTCTGGCTCTCTTCGGCGCGCATGCGTACACGTACACCCCTCTTTCTCAGCCTCCTCTCTTAAGAAATACAACTGCTTAAACCATCCAAAGCAAACACAGGCTCCGGCTCTGAGCTCTGTTTCTGGGAGCCTGTCTCCCCGGCGAGCGTCCAGCCACCCTGTCGAGGCACCTGCCGCCGGGCGGCTCTCCAGGGTGAGCACACAACCCTGGACACCACGTGGCCCGCAGCCTCAGAGGACCTCACCCCACCTGCCCCGCAGGGAAGGAGCCATGCGATGATTCCTGGGATTGAACGGTCAGAGTTTGAGAGGCGATGAGAAAACCGTGCAGCCCAGACAGGGCCCAGAGCTCAGGGCGGCAGGGTCTCAGGCCCTCCCGGCTCTGCTCGCAGCCCCATCTCCTCTGCCCACTCTTCTCGTCTCCTTCCCTCCTGGTCCTCTCCTGGCTTATCCCTCTGAGCAGACGTCAGCCAATTCCACACACAGGCCCCAAGTACCCCCCAGGCCCTGGAGCACCTGCCACTGGGCTGGGGCCACCCTCAGCCCCAGTCCACCACGTGGGCAAGCTGGTGCGTGTTGTCAGGGCCCCTCGAGCTCCTGGGCTCCTCCCACATTGCACTCTCACGGCAGGCACATGTCTTTTTCGGCAAACCACATGATCTACTAACCAGCTCTCTTCCCACTCACAGGCATGGGGTTGGGGGGAGAAGAGCCTCTACTGCAGCCTCCTTCTAGTATCTCATGCAACGGGAAGCCACCATCTTGCTACCCCCACAGCAAACCCACCAGACCAGATGGGTGGTTCTCCCTGCCCTCTCCCTGGGGAGGTTCAGCACCAAGCCGGGCCCCTTTCTGGCCCCACCAGCTATTGGCGCCTGCCCTACCCCAGCTTAGCAGAGAAGGGAAAAGGCCATCAGGGACAAGGCCACGGTCCCTGTCCCCTCTGCACATAATGTGAGACGACTGGGGCAGGGATGGGGTTCCAGGAGTCCAACCAGACCCTAAGCCTGCCCTTGCACACGGGAGGCCTTGGGGACAGCCCAGAACGCCCTGGTCCCCCGGAAGCCCTGGACGGTGTTCTCGGCGAGCGAGTGCGCTCCCAGGAGGCTGGCTCACCTGACGCCCATCTTGCAGTCCATGACGCAAGGCGAGTCGAAGTCGGCCAGCAGGTCGTCCATCTGGTTGTAGCGCTCGCCGTCCTTCACCACGTCCCCGTGGTAGGCGGGGACAAAGGGCTTCAGCACGTCGGCCATCAGCCGGTCCAGGCAGCGCTGCTCTGATTCACAGTGCTTCTTCAGGATCCTGCCGTTGGCAGCCGCCTTGAAACTCCCTGCAGAGCAAGGTGGGAGGAGGCCCTGGGTCCCCAGCCATGGCCGGCAGAGGTGCCCTCCCTGCTCTGACTCACCCACCCGACAGCCCCCTCCATCACAGTGCCTGGGCCTCTGCAGGACGCTGCAGGGCTTGCTGAGCCTAGGGCTGAAGGTGTGCCCAGGTCCCCCGAGCGCTGTAAGGGGAGTGGGCGCAAGTTCCAGTCTGCCCCCACTCACAGACTGCAACCCTGGCTGGTTCCCTAACTTCCCTGACCCCGGGCTCTTCCTCTGAAGATGGAGGGACACCAGTGTTCCCTGCTGGAGGGTTAGCAGGGCTAAGTGAGAGGTCTGTGCCAAGACCGGTCCCCTCCTCCTTGTACTACTATTACCGTCCCCACCCCGTCCTCAATCCTGCTTCTCCAGCAGGGCAATGAAGGTGTTTTCCGGTCTCAGTGGAGGGGAGGCCCCGGCAGGACAGGATTCAGTGCCGGGAAGGGAGACTGGCTGAGACATGGGGTCCTTCCCAGCGATACCCTCAGGTAAGTCTTTAGGAAGGGTGTCCATCCAGATGCCTTGGGCTAGGCCAGTGGGTTGGGGATATAAAGGAAATGGCAGACGACGTGCTGGCCTAGAGTCATTTGGGCCAAGTGCCCGGGTAGCCACTGAAATGCATGCCCAAGGGCCCCTACCCCAGGCGTGGGCTGGACGGCTCTGGGGCTTTGGCTTTGGATGTCCCTCTTCCTCTGCGGCTGATGGGCCACCTAGAGACCATACAGCTGGCCCAGCGCCCTGGCCACTGCACCCAACCCTCCACAGTGTCTGCTGCTCCTGGAATGACCTGCCTGAATCTTCTACCAGCTACAAGCTCCTCAGGGGCAGACAGTCTGTTTCCACCAACATGGTCACGGCAATGCTGGCATACAGTAGGCGCTCAACGAAGTGCTTAGCACTGCCTTTTTGTCCAAGATGACAAATGGCAGGCAAGCTATAAGACTGATGATTTCATCTGTTTTATTGAGTTAAATTGCAAGAGAGACTGAGAGAGAGAAAGAGACTGAAAGAGACAGAGACTGAGGAAGGGGGACGTGTGTGTTTTGGGGAGGGGTGGCACAGACTGTGGAGAGGGCGGTTGTCCGTGGGCATTTTCAAGGCCACATCTCGCAAGTGTAGCTGCAGCTGCAGACAACAAAGCCTCTCGGGGAGAACCTGTGTGGGACGCTGTCATCCCGGGAGCATCCAGGGCCAGGCCCCCCCACCCACACGTGCTGGATGCCCCCCCAGAGAGCCGATCGTCCTGTTGGGAAATCCGGGAGTGCTGCGGCTACCTGCGTGTCCCGCCAGCTGGATCCAGGGGTACTTCTTCTTGAAGGACATGACGAAGGGAGACCAGTGCACCATGTTTTTTATTTTCCTCCATGACTTGCTCTAGAAACAAGCAAACGAAAAGCTCTACATTAGAAAGAGGCCGGCTACTTTCTGGTTAGGATGAATTCACAGCGAGGCAACTCGCTGCCTGTGGCCACAGGATGAGAAGAGCCACGCCCACACAAAGGTGCCCTTGGTGGCTCCTAGGACCTCACCTCTGTCATCCACGTCCAATCCGAGGCTGACCCCATCCCACGCCACCTCCCCGTCACGGAACAACTAAACCCCCATGGCCCTTCCCTTCTTCATGCCCCTCTTGGGGCCTCAGTTTCCCCATCTGCCTAGCGAAGGATGGCAGGCTCCTTGGACCGATGGACGCTCTAGGACTCTGGAAAATGACCTCCTGCATCCCAACAGCAGTGGCTTCTCAGAGGAGAACTAGAGAGGGCCACCACCATTGCCCAGCTACAACGTGTCACCTCACATTTTCTTGTAGATGCGGTGGCAAGAGACATCCCTCTTGCCTGTGAGCTGTTTGAGGAGAGACTCTGATGGGAATTCCCCAGGGACAGCACTCCCCCACACCCCCCATGGCTTCGGTGCACAGAGGGGTGAGCCAGCCTGCAAAAACTGTGTGTGTGTGTGTGTGTGTGTGTGTGTGTGTGTGTGTAGGAGGGGCTCCCTGGGCAGAAAGGAGAACTAACATTTATTGAGTGCTTTCTTATTTTATTTTCACAAGCCTGCAAGGCAATTATTGTTATTTCCATCTGTAGAGCCTGGGCCTCAGAGAAGTAAGTGACAAAGCTGGCATCTAAACCCTCATCTACAGGACTACTCGAAAAAGAATCCTTTTTATCCCCAGCAATAAACATTTCTCTAGCAACAAATATCCCCAAGTTAACTTGAATAAGATTGGGATGTCAAGGTGAAGATCAAGGGTCCCCAAACACGTGAGCCCCCCGAAGGGGGTGATGAGAACCTGAACTGAGAAGCATTTCAAGTTCCTGAGAAGGTGGCTCCCTGACCAGCAAAACCACAGACAGTGAAAACCACACAGCTCTGCGCCGGGAGGGAGAAGCTGGGAATTCTGCAGAAGAGGGAGATGAGGAGGGTTCCTGCTCTGCCGGGGCCCCCCTGAAGATGCAGCTCCTCGTTCCCCATCCCGCAGCACCCAGCGGCCACCCTGAAGAGCGTGGACGGACTCAGACTGCTGGAGCCCAGGGTCAAACCAAAGTTATATTAGCTTCCTTTGTTTTATTCTCTCTTTGCTGAGACTCAGCTGCTTCTGCCATCAAGTTTTCAAGTCAAAATGTGTTTAAGGAGAAGAATCCTTCCCTACTGAACCCAGTGATGTTTATCCCCATCCCAGAACCCCTCACTCTCCCGCCAAGACCTAGTCTGTTCTTAAGTGAGGGCAGCGTTCTGGCAGCGCTCTGCCAGGCCATGTGACAAAAGGGCCAGGCCTTTACTGACGAGGGTGTTGTTCCTAGATCCTTCTGATGGAGATCTACAAAGAAGGCTAAGGAAGGCCGAGGCATTTCTTATCTAAGCACCCAGAAGGCTGCATAAACAATCAGAGCGTACAATGCAGGAGGACAACAATGGGAAAACCTCATTATGCGAGATGAGCCAGGCTCGTCCGCCTCCTGGGGAAGACATTAGGGTTGCTCCAGAGGAAAGTGCATGGCCGGTCACCACCTGCTGGTCACGTCCCCGCAACAGGGCTCAGAGGGGATGAGGGTCTGACAGGTTCAGGGTAGACGGGTCAGAGTGTCCCCAATCCGGGGCTGACCCCATCCCATGCCTCTTCCCCATCAGGGAACAACTAAACCCACACGGCCCTTCTTCATGCCCCTCTCAGGGCCTCAGTTTCCCCATCTGTCTAGTGAGGCATGGACAGCTGGTCCACCAGGCTCCTTGGACTGACGGACACTCCAGCATCCCAGCAGCAGTGGCCCCTCAGAGGAGGACTAGAGAGGGCCACCATCGCCCAGCTGCAACGTGTTACTTTACATTTTCTTGTAGATGCGGTGGGGACCCTGGACCCAGGGAGGACGTGTCCCATGGCCAGGGAGGGGTCACCAAAGACTGGTGACTGCTGGGAAGGAAGGACCTCACGGAGGCTGCACCCAACAGAGGCAGGCTGGGGAGACTCAAGGGGCAGGAAAGGAGACTACTGCAGGCAGGGGGGCCCATGGGAGCAGAGGTCGGGGACTGAGATTTGGAGCAGCTGGGCCCAGACCTGCTGGGAATGGAGCTGGAAGCAGAGGGAGATGAGGGTGAGAAGGGAGGCCGGCTCCGGACGCCGGGCGGGAAGCCTGGGCTCAGGGGCGTGCCGTGCGGGGGAGGCAGGCCGGCCTCCATCCACTCCTCACTAACTGAACCTCAAACAAGTTTCTGACCCTCTGTGGGGCCCTATTATCTTATCTGTAAAATGGGAAAAACACGCAAATTCTCTTGATCTCAGGAGGTAAAGCTGTGAGATTGTGGGCACAGGGGCATCTGTGGAAGCGACAGTTCTCTGGGTTCAAAGAGGGGGTACCCCGAAGTTACCCTGGGACTGGTCAGTCCAAGCTAAGCAGGGGTGTTGCCGTGGTTACTAAAGAATAAAGACCACAGAGCCTTGGCAGGATGCAGCTCTCTGGAGACCCGCGGGGACACACTGGGCAGTGGGCCTGTGACCCTGGAAGGCAGAGGGAACAGGTGCTAAAGAAGAAGAGCAAGGCTCGGGCCCAGCAGGGCATTTGAAGCTGGGAAAACTCTAGTTCTCGGACCTCTCTTCAGAGTTTGAAGACCAGGGGTCCAGAAAGGAGCGGGGGGCTCCAGGGTGGGGGTCCTCAGACAGCGCACGGGATCCAAGAGTCTCCCACCATCGCCAAGCTCTGAGTACACGGGGCATTTTTCCGTCGAGCTTCCCCGTCCTCACACCTCCTCCAGGAGGAAGCATTTCTTCCACATGAGAACGGGCCACACAAGACAAAGGCCACGAGAGTCCTCCATCCCAAGGCTCCCTGCGTGGTCAAGGCAGTGGAATATTCCACTCGTGCCGGTTTGCACACCAGGGACTTCTCACCTCTCTGCTGGCAGCAGCACACCGGGGATTCTCCGTGGTTTTTAAATAGCAGTGCCTGGGCGGTGCCTAACGTCCCTGCCAAACATTAAACAGAAAAAGCACATCCAGGTCCAGGCCCCGGCCTGGGAAAGGAGGCTGCAGGGCGACCCCCTCCCCATCACTCTCTCCAGCCCACAGGAGCAGAGAAAACGAAAGGGCGGGAGGAGATGACAGATGATCATTGCCTTCCGATGGCCCGGAGACCACAGCACCCATTCAGGAACCACCTGCTCTGGGCAGAAGCTGCTTTCCAGGCGGGGGGACAGGTCAGACTGACAGTCTCCCTCCAGGCCCCTCGCGGGAGACCCATGGTCCTCAGAAATGGATGCTGCGCCTCTTCCCCCAGCTAAGACAGGTGAGGAGGCAAGGAAGGAGGGCAGCCGGACAACCCGGAAGAATGCCATCCAGAGGAATTTATCACTCTCAGCCCTGGCTCTCTACCTTTCCTCTCCCGGGAGATTCTCAATGGCCTCAGTCACTTCTTTGAAATCAGACCCCAGACCCACGTCTCCAACTTCTCCAGCCAACCTTTGTGAAATCCAAAAGCAGCCCTCAAATACTTTGAAGGTGGGTGGCAAAGAGCACTGGTCCCCTCCCCAGGGGCAGCGCTGGCTGTCTAATGACTTCACTGGCCCTGTTCCTTCCTCACCTCCCAATCATCGGGGCATCTGAACACCCTCAGCTGACCCTTCCTGGAATGCCCCCAAAGCTCCACAGGCCTGACAGGTCCCCGCTGGCCTCTCGGAACTGCCAGGTCCGCATATGTGAATCTGAGGAGTCAGCTAGCTGACTCCGGCGAGCTTGACTCTGACACATCGCTTACTCACACACGGCTCTGGGGACCAGCGATCCAATGGATAAGCTGGGGTGTCCTTCCTAAGTCTGCCGGGCTTTACAGGGCACAGGGAACGGCTCTCAGAAACTAACTGCCAGCTGGCATCACTTTTGCCATCCCCCGGGAGCTGGGAGGGCTCGCTTCCCTAGATGTGCCCCGCGTGCCAGCCCGCCCGCCAGCACGGGGCCCGGCGTGTGCACTCACGACTCTCCTCATCTGTGGAGCTCTTACTAGTGACGGGCGGTGGCCTGGGCGCTCTACGGCCTCATTTCTGGCCTTCACAACCACCTGAGGACAGACGAGAGCATCTTCTCTGGAAGATGAAGACCCCGAGGCTCAGCAGGTTAAGTTGCTTCCCCAAAGTCATTCCTATCTCCATCCAGGCCGGTCAGTGCCAGCTCACACTGGGACCCTCAAACCAATTCAACGATTCACCAATATCAACAAGCGAGGGTCCCCACTTAGGAATGCTCCTTCCAGCCCTGAGAACGCTGGGCAAGGGGACGGGAGACAGAAGATTGGGCAAGAAGGACAACAGGATTTCTTCAAGGCGGTTCCCCTGGGCAGCCAGGCTGCTCTGCTCCGGGGGGTCTTCTGGCTGCTCCTTTAGCAGAGGAGCCCAGAGCTTTTGGGAGCCTGCCATCAAAACCCCAGATCTGACCCATTCTGGGGCTGGGCAGGTACCATTTCCAGCATAGCTCCCAGGTAACACAAGGCTCTCCCACGAGTCACATCAGACCAGCCAAACGCTTCCAGACTGTGGCTGGAATTCTGCACGTGGCATGTTCTTGGGAGCACTTCAAGGGAAAGCACCACAAAGCTGATTACCTGACAGGCAGGTGAGGGCCCACGAGGTGGGCTGGAGATACCTGGCTCTCATTTTGATTCCGTGCTAGGAGGTTAAGCTAATTGAAGACCAGACGTGAGGTTTTTCAGGCAACGTGTCGGGTCGATGGGCTTGGATGAGAGCCACTACACAAATCCTTAGGGACTGCACTCCTGGGTTAAATAAGCCCATTCTGGCTTTGCCCTGTGTTGTTTTTTGTGTGTGTGTGTGTGTGTGTGTGTGTGTGAGGAAGATCAGCCCTGAGCTAACATCCATGCTAATCCCCC